CTTGGTGCTCTTCTCCACCTGGACAATTTTGAGATATTCACATTTCCTCTCAACAATTGGGCTGGCTCTAGATTTGGATTCCAATTCTTGTGGTGTATTCCAATGAAAGGAAACTAGCAGCATCAACAAGTGCTCACATACAGCAAAGTGTTCATTGCCAAAGAGCGGCGCAATAACCGGGGAACGGCGTGGAATGAATCACCACAGAGCGGCACAATGACCGGGGAAGGGCATGGAAGGAGTCAGAAAACGAGGGCAAAAGTTACGAACTTTTGCCCTTGTCCAAAAGTGCCAAGTTAACCGGGGAAGGCGAAGGAGGCAGGAATGTGAGAGCCAACCGGGGAAGGACATGGAATCCAGTCCGAACTTGGGAGTCTCGAAAGATTGCGCGAGTATTCCGTGATTTTTGCCAGGGGAGAACTGGGCAACAGCATGGAATGAGGGAACCGGGGAACGGCATGGAGAATGACCGGGGAAGGGGAAGGACACCTCTTAACCGGGGAAGGGCATGGAGGTCCGACACGCCCAAATCGGTGGGAAAACGGGCGCAAATGTTGCACTGAAAAGAACCTGACCAAAGCGGGATGGCCAGCTGAAAATGGCAACTAAATGTTAAATACATTATATTTATGTCCAGAACCCATGAGACATGACATAACTTCAGGCTGACACAAAGCACCCAAAGCTGTGTCACTGTCACTTGGTAGCTTGGACTTGAAGTGTGTGAAACAGTCCATGATTGATATAAACAAAGAATTGAATGTCATGTCACTCCAACTTCATGGCCTGCTGTGGGCAAATGAATGAAATCTGCTTCTCCGGCGCATAAGCTATGACATTCAACCAATCGTCCGCCCCAACATGCACAGCATCAGCAACCACTGACAAAATTGATATGTCCTTGAACTCCTTCTTTCCAGTCAGCAGGTAAGAGTAGCGCTCAGCAACCTGATAGCGCACCCCACTTTGTCCAGCTGCTTTTTTGCACTTCTTGGAAGCTTCTCCATCTGTTGGGTCCGACATCTGTGCAAACTGCCTTTGTCCTTGTGTGGCAGAAGTGATCTTACTACCACTAGAAGTGGCTTGTTGCACCATGGCTTCCTTGAAGCCATGAGAAGACCGACGATATCCTCGCTGGGTCCTGCTCAATGATATCAATCAATACAATCAAGGACACTGCAAAATTGGCAGTGGATACTAGCTTTACATGACAACTTGACATCAGCCTACAAGCACAATTGGTGGAGATCAAAAAATAATTGAGCACAACAATAACAAAAACACAGCAATGTCACTACACCATCATGCAATGATAACAACACCGAAAGTTGACTCAGTCCTCAGCTGGTCTACTTGCTTGATTGTGATAGATGTCCATACTGGATGGCCTGACCGACTTCCAGAGTCTATTACTGCTGCCAAATGCTCATAGCATCGAGCAATGCATAAGGAAGACATGGTCCGGCGAGACTTTGCAAAATTCCCATTGACCTCGTCCTTTGCCAATGAATGAATGGCGTCCATCACAGTAGCCCATTGGTCCAGTCCTGAAAATGATCTGCTCAAATTCATGTGAGACTTTGATAGCCTGTGGATGTCCACAAGTCCAGCCCTGAAATGAAATTCGATCCCCTCTGGAGTAGTGAGCACTCTGTCGCCCTGCAAGAATTGGTCCATCATAGCATTCAATAGTGTGAAGCACCTGTCCTTCACATTGTCATGCCCCAGGTTCCACTTCTGGGTTTGCTTCGGCCCACGGAAGGCCCAGTGTCCAACAATTACCAAAAAGGCAAAAGTGCTAGCAGCAAATTCCTGGCACATAAGGCCATCTGTCCCCATTGAAGTGTCTGGCCCTGGGTCCACATTTGAATCTGGTCCATCAGAATCATTCAACTTCCTCTTCTTTTTTGACATCGTGCTCTTCTGTTTTGCCCATGAGCTGTAAAGGATATGCTTTGCAGCTTCTTGTTCGATCTCCTTTGCTTCGCAGTCCGACATCAACCACTGTACCTTGTCCACAACACGGTTAGTCCAAGCATCGACTGCCTGTCCAAGGAAGTTTGTGGTGCTTGTCCCACCCAGGAAGTCCACAAGCCAGCGTAAACGCCAGAACCTGTGGCCTCCAGCAAAGTCCGTCTTGGTTTGTTCAAAGTCATAGAGCTCACAGCGGAAACGCCCATGCTTCCCACACAGAATCTCCCCTGCGAAAGTAGTCCGACCAGAAATGTCCGACGTAGCTGCATCAGGAGATTGCGACGCAGCTTTCGATGATGCTGCCATGACTTGGGGGCTGTCTCCGACAAAGTCCAATGTGACCTGTTCAACCTACCTAGCCCAAATGTAGTGCAACAAATTGCACAAACCAATGATCACATGACTTGCTAGCAGCGATGATTATTTATAAACTGTTTGATATTGACCATGTACTGAGTTGACATCCACAAGTCTGGACAAGGTGGACACAAGTGAAGCTGTTCATTCTAACTTGAGCTGGAATTCTGCAAAAAACATGAGTCATTCATAAATGGATTGCACAATGGACCTGAAGGCATTCAAAGTTCACACAACTCAGCTGTGCAGGGGCTACCCAACATCAGTATTGTTCCCTGACTGAACACAGAAGTCAATGGCTGCAATCTCCAAGAATGACCAGTGATGAAAGCAGCTCTTTTTTTGCCTTGAAGCGATTGAATGGAGTCGGAAGGCAGCTAGGCTAGCAACACATAGATTACATTACAAAATTCACTTCAAGTTGAAGTTGGGTCTGTCACAACATGGTCAATCATTGTCATGTCCGCAACGAAACCCTCTGAAAATGAAGTCCGGCACAAGCTGAAGTCCAAAGCCATTGAACACAATGCAGTCTCCTGAGTTTGGACTTGAGGTTAGAGAAAATCACTGCGCAAACAAAAAACAATTAGTGGTGCGCATACAAAACTTTAATTGTACCAAACATATTTTACTGCAAGATCTGCAAGACTGTCATCAAAGAGGCGGTAGTCCACCGCAAATGTGGAATTCAATGTGAAGTGCGCAACAAAGGACTGGCCCTTATAGAAGACTCCGACTGTGTCCAAGTAGTCCGACTCATGAATCTTCTGAACAAGATCCAGAACCATGGAAGCAGGCACTGGGTCCATTGGAGTGGTCCAGGGGTCGAAAGCCTGTCCTGCTTCAATTTCAGCAGCCTGCCTCAGGATTGTCCGGCAATTCACTTCTGCGTCAAAAATTTGCTTCTCAACCCTGAGCTTCAAAATCTCCCAGGCAGTCCTGAGTAGATGGCATGCTTTGGGTAAACTGTTCTGTATCATATTCACTAGTTTCACCAAAACCAAACGAAATACATGCTGCAAACCCACATGGTACAATGGTCAAACAACTATGGAAGTACTTTCAGCTGGATGACACACATGATCCATGATTCAAATATCAAGCACAGCCAGCACATTGTAAGTCCAAGGAACTTCAGAAAGGGGTGGTCCTGGCAATGGTCCTTCTCCACAACAAAGCTGCCCTTCCCAAAGTACCTCGAACCATTTATACAAAGATGGCTGCTGCTGCAAAACATGCAATCAATTGTAATATTAAACAGTGAAGAATCTGATCATCTACAACAGGTCAGGGTGCAATCTGTGGAGTTCCGGAACAGGTACCATATTGTCCGACAAGAGTGCCAAATAGCGAAGACCCCTGGGTTGCACAAGACCAAAATGAGTGAGCATAGCTAGACAAAAACCTTTGTGTCTTTGTAAAAGCAGGCTCAAATTCAACAAAGCTTGTCTCCAAGTAGGAAAACAATGCTAGTGCAATCTAAATACTCAGATTTCTCCGAAACTACTTGTTCAATTTCTTCAGGGGACCAAGGGCCAAATCCAGAAGCCTCCAGGTACTTCTGTATGTCCAACGGGGAGAGCTCAAAGACTGTTGGTGAAGCTTCCATGAGCTCACTAGTGCCCGACAATGAACTCCGACTGAAATAGGATCACATCAATACTAGGTTAACAAATCTTGCTTGGATGGTTCTTCGCACGTTAGATTTGTCTGGGATATGTGTTAGTGTTGTTGTTATCTAATGGACAGTTGCAATTTAGATGTCTTGACATATTTAGATGTCTTGACATAATATTGTCTCTTGACTCTTGAGCCCAAAAGATACCCAAATGTTTGAGGATTAAATCACTGGTTGAATTCGTGGATCAAATTGGCTGTACATCAGTGCGCCTGTTCAAATCATGCAGCCAGAAAGGTCTCCAGCAGTATGTCAAAGGATGTGTTGCAATTCTTCAGTTTGCAATGTCTGGACAACCCTACAAACGATGGAATTGAACGCTGAAATCAAGCACTGGGCACATTGCACATAGTTTTCATGGACTTGCTTCAGTGATGAAGTCTCCACATAATTAGTGGAGCCATCCCCATTTCCAGCCAACCCACATCCGCAAACATGTGATTAAATTGAACAGTGAAAACATGTTGTTTCATTGCTAACATTGAAAATAGAAGTCCGACTATGGCTGGGAATGTCCTGGGCTATTAAATTTAATAGACCCTCTGAAACAGCTCAGACTTCGGTCTGAGGACCCCCTAGTTCAGTCTAGACTCAGTCCGTCCAAGTCTGCTGCATGTCTGCAGGACCCCACTCCAAATTGCTCCTGCAACGTCCTTCATTCAGTCTTCTTTTCACCCTCTTGCTTCGTCTTATTTTTGCTGGTGTGCTCCAGCGTCTCAAACTTAGGCCTTTTTGCTGGCGTTTCCATCTCTGATGGGGCTCCTGTAGCTGTCAGAAGGGAATATTCTGACCTGGTCTCGTCAAAATGCTCTGCTTCCAGTCCATCCTCGGCCCACTTTCTATTGGGGTCCAATATGTACTCGTCCTGGTCTTGGTCCTCGTTCAGTAAGTCCAGCGCAAGGAAGTCCCACATGCTTGACTTCTTGTCCGTTGTCAAATGACAGTCAGGCGAAAATGGGTCCGACAAATGCCATGATTGTCCCTTAGGAGCAGCTGCTAGTTCATGCTCCTTGTAATCCTCCGGATTTTGTGCTAGTCCACGTAGGACCAGCTTATTGCCCTCCAGTTCCCACACTGCCATCTCATTTGGGTCCTTCAGTAGGTTGTCCATTCCATCCTTGAACTTGTCCAGGTAGTTCAAATTGAGCTCTTTGACCCGTGCCCTGGCCAGCTTCTCCAAGGTGGAGACCAACCGGATGTCCGACCTTTGTGGAATAGGGGCTTTTTGTCCAACCCAAAACTGACTCACGAAGCGCTGTGTAACAAATTCCGGGTGATCGGAAGACTTGTCCGGCAGCCTGATTCCTGTGGCTTGGATCATGGTGAGCTGCATGTCCACGGGGATGTCCAGCCATTTGCGCGCACGGCCTTTCCATCGAGGTCCGACCAATTCTGGGCCTTCAAAGGTGTGCTCCTTCAGAATCCCATTGAGGCACCCTGATCTGATCAGTCCAGCTAATGGTTGTATCCATTTCGGATTGTCCTCCAAAGTGCTCAGCACAAATTGATGGTCCGACTCAACGAGTGAGGCCTTGCTACTCTGAATGGCAGAGGCGAACTTCTGCTCATTCTTGATCGACCTCTTCTCAGCCTTTTTTGCCCGACGTTCTAATGCCTTCCTACATGGTGTCCGAATTCCCCCAGACTTTCGCGGCATTGAACAATTTTGATGAATTAACCAAGAATGATGTTCTGATTTAAGCTGATGAGTTGAGCACAAGCTGCAGCAAATGCAAGCAGGATCAACTAACACTGTGCCATAAAAGCCAAGCAATGAGGTAGTCACTGCAATGGGGAAGATTAATGCTTACTGCCTGGACACTTCAGAAATGAAATATTAAATTGAAATATATCCTCTGTTGAGTGTCTGACTCAAACCAAGCAGTGCTGGGACACATAGTTCTTGTTCCCACTCCTGCTGCGCTGCGCAATTGAACTGGATCTGGGCAATTAGGCAAGGGGCATTGGTTAGCCAATTGCTACAGATTTAAACTTAATCTATTATGCATTACATACTTGACATTGAGCTGTGACTCAGTAACAGCAACAGAATGAAAAGCACACAGTGGTACTTGATGAGCACAACTACACAGGCGTCACAGAGTTGTTAGCCACACAATAGGGCCACACAAAAACAAAGTGATTCCCCCTCCATCCGACAGACTTCGGAATAGCAGCAACACGCCGACCAGCTTCTTGAGGTAAGGAAGTGGTGCTTTAGAACTCTATGTTCTGTATTGTTGCCATGTAGTAAATGAGTGTTTTCTGTGAGCACAAAGAAACAACAATTTATTGTGGCTGATCAATGTTCTCCACCCAAGGTTTGGTGGAGAATATATGTGTGTAAGTTATACAGTATCGAGTTTGCCCGGCCAGAAATGCAAACTAGTTGATATTACAATTTGCACTCAGTTGGGATGCACATGCTGGTTTCATGGTTCCTAATTCCAAAAGACCATGCCAGGCTGGAACCATAGGGATGTAGATGCTCAATCCAATCCTCAGCCAATTGGTCAATTGATTGTAATTCACTGTGTCAGTGTCCAGCATGTCATTGTTTCCGAAAACATTTTAGGCAACCAGTATACAGAAACATTAGTCCTTCATTGCAATTGATGGACAAAAGGCTATTGCAAACAGTGAGGTAACGAGGTAATGCGAAAGTCACATTGTATACAAATTGGTTTCTCTGTCAGAAGGTGACAAAAGCCTGGCAGGACTCAACAAAGCAAGTCTCCTCACATCTCAACAATGGGTCATGATATGGCCATTTGGCAAATGTCTATCTCTTGTATTGCTTGATCTCCCTTCCAGTACTTCAAGGCCAGCGCAAATCCATCCATTGCACCCTTGTCCAGCCAAAGTGCACCTGGCATCCACTCTGCACACACAAAACTATTCCAATGGTAGTTCACTTGTGCATTTCCCACAACTCAAGAGGTCAATCAACAAAACAACATGCTGCACTGAGGTGCAAATGGCACATCATGACTTGCACACTGCATTAGACCATGACAGGGAACATGCAAGTTTGACTACAATGAGAGAGTATTGGGGTACATTAAATTGTTAAATCAGCCAGACTGTGAAAATATAACAGAGTCTGAAGCAATTGGGAATCCTTTAATTTATCACTTGTCTGTCTCCGCTGCACTTTTTATCAGCGGAGTCCACGCCAGGCGCTGCTGTAGTTCCAATTCTGTCCGCCAGAGCCCCAACTGCGTCTGCTGGAGGATGAAGCCTGCAGGCTTGGAATGGATTGCCACAACTGAATCCACTGACTGCTTTGAAATATGAACAAACAAATGACCGGTCCCATCAAGCACAGGAAAATGCACTGGCAATTACATGCCAAAGCACTTGGTCGTCATTCCATGGATAGGAGTCCGACCCTCTTTGTCCATCTCTGCCTGCAGTGATTGAAAAATGCTCAAGATTGACTACTGCCTGTAGTGTTACAAACATCATAAAATATCTAGGGCATTTGACCAGGCCTCATTGACTTTGCAACATTTGATGAACATGACAGTTTAGTATTATTAGCACTCAATTCAACAAGGTGTTGCAGTCTGTACTACTAGTGTTCACTCATTCAGTAGTGAGTGATCAGTGACTTGTCCAGCCTGGCACTAAGCCCAGCTCCTTCATCAGCTCCAACTCCTGAACCTTAAGCTGCTGCAGCTTGAGTTCTTTGTCCAACTGAGCATTTTTCTGTTTGAGTTGGTCCTTCTGAGCTTTGTCCGTCTCATGGTCCGGCAGTGGTTTGGACAATGCTGCTGGATCTAGCTGTGGCTCGATAGCCTGTGCTTGTTGGATTTCGGTGTCCAACATATTCTCGTCCTGGGCCTCCCAGTCCGGCACTTCAGGCTCCTCTAACGCATCCTCGTCCATTGGTGCGAAAGAGTCTCTGTAATGTTTGTTTTCGTCTGGGTCCGGCGGGGAGTCCAAGTGGGAATCAGCCACAGGTTCCTCCTCCTCATGAGCCTTGTCCAAATCCTCTGCACCATGTCCGTCTGGCTTCTCCTCCTCCTCCACCTCCTCCTCCTCGTCCTTAACTTTTCCAGTACCCTTCTCCTTCAGAGCCTCCTCCTCCTCCTCCTCCTCTGTGATGTCCGCCCATGTTTGCCGTTTTGCCCTGTTGGCAGCATCAAGGGCCTCCTGCTGCAGCTGAATTCCCTGACCGGCTGGCGCCAGAGTGACTGCTGGCGGTGGTCCGTCCGGCTGAGTGGGGCTTTTGCGCTTCCTCGGCGGCGGCCTGTCCGACTGTTCGGCTGCTGTCCAACTGTCTTCTTCGTCCTCGTCCTGTGTCCATGCAAGCCATGAATCACGGCGTTGATTTCTCTCAACCTCAATTCGGTCCCAAATTACTTTCTCCTTCTCTGTGAACTCCTCCTCGTACAACATTTGTCCGGCATCAAAGTCCACAGGATTGAACCTTTCCCGAAGCTCCCTGCGGCAGTGCCTTTGCTTGGTGTCCAGCTGAATGCCCATTAGGTCCATCCTCCTGCCCCTGACAATCTTGAACGACATATACTCCTCATCATCACCTCAGCAAGTGCAAACATCTCATTGGCTTAGTGAGTTACCATACTAACTATACTAAGAATTACCCAAAAAATGTCATAATCATCCAAAACACCTAACATAGAACAAATGCTTACTAAGTAATGAAGCTGAGTTGCTCCTAGGATGCATTGACCGCTGGCCCTTGTTCCGCAAAAGCGTATAAAAGGCGTTCTTGAAGTTTCTCCAACATGGGTTTGGTCCGACTTCACCTGAGTTGGATTCAAGGAAAAAATGGCTCCAAATACCAAAGGCTGAATATATGGTCAATATTAGAAGCCCCCTTGTCAATGAACCACCACTGAAGTCTTGCAATTTCTACATCACAAATGAGAAACAAAATTCATCATTGTAGCCATGGAACGCATAAGCTGCTGAGTAGTGTCCGACGCATTGATCCGTCCCCAAGGTCCCGAAGAAGCCAGGTTGGCAAATGCCTTGTCAACCAAAGCATGTTGGGGATGGATGAATGGGTTACAAAGAAGTATAAAATAACTTAAAAAGTCAAAGGCTCACTGAATGCGAAACAGTTACAACCCATTGGTCCTCAGTGGCGTCCAGCCTGCTCAAGAGATTGGCCGACGCTGGCATCTTTTTGAGCAGCCACGCGCGAGCCTCATGGACTGTCAAGCACCAAGCAAGCAAAAGGCCAATAACAAAATACTACATATTCTGAACTTGAACAAATTATCAATCATAAAAAAACATTGAATGCTCTCAGTAAATGCCTCCAATAGTAAAATCTATGAGTCTACATCGAAGGGACCCTCTGCAGGCCCTCATGTCGGTACTCAAACATGTTGTCCACCCAATCATCCTGTGACCAACGTCCATCTGAATCTGTGTCCGAGCAGACTGCTTCAATTTCCGGCGGCACAGGGATCTGTCCATCTCTTCCCACCCACACTTCAGATCCATCACGGAGCCTGCCATGATCGCCTGGATGCATGGTCAGTCCTAGTCCTCCTTGTGGTCCAGTCAATCTGCTTCTCGGCCGCCTCTTTGGCGCTGCTGTCCGTCTGGGATTGCCATCTGGATTGTCCGGCCTGGCTTTAGGTCTGACTGCTGGGGCTGGCAGCGGTTGGTCCGACTCTTCATCCTCGTCCGACTCTTCGTCCTGAGGCGGTCTTGGTCCCATCATCACGCGATGTGCCCTCGACACAATGTGCGTGAGCCAGTCCGCCACACTCTGTGGAACGGTGACTTTGAACCACTCCATCCCCTCTGTCCCACAGAACGTCAAGAAGCAGACTGGCACGTCCAGCAAATGTCCCAAAATTGTCCCAAGGGTTGCTGACCGATGCCTGCCCTTGGTGCCTTGAATGACAATGTGACTGTGAGTCCAGTGAGTGTCAACAATTATACTATGTACTGTAGTGGCAAACTGTCCTGACACTCAATCCGACCTACTCTGAAAGTCAGCTAAAGTGGTTGCAACAATGTGAGTTGATATAATCCAACAAAGGCAAGTGGCAACACATTGCGAAAATGTACTGATGATGCTCGTTCGGCAGGGTCCGCTTAATGACAGTCAGCTGTGCAAGAAGAGAAACCAATGTAGGTACCAGATCCTCTTGGTCCAGCCGTATGAGAGCGTCCAGCACAGCCCAATTGTGGGAGGGGCAGCCTTGGTGAGTCATGAACATAGTACTACCAATTGTCAGTTGCGGGGCCAAGGTCGTTGGCAACAAATCTTCTAACATATTGGAAATATTGATTGAGTGGAGGGCTGGGGCAAACTAAAAGACAACAAATTTAACAATTATGATAAGGCACCTCTTTTGTCCGTGTGCTTATCTGGGTCG